AAACCTTTACTTATTAGATTTTAGGGTTAGGGTTGATAAAAGAAAAATTTATATTAAAGTTTAGAGGGTTTATATATATTATTGTTATAAAAACTAAAAATAGAAAATCCTGTGTAATCATGTGGAAATAGTAAAAAACCATGGTGGAAATAGTAGCTCTCTATAATTATGTCAAATTAGAATTTGAATTGAATTATGAATTTTTCACCATTTTGTGTGCATTTTATGGTTTAAAATAGCCACATTAAATAATGCGTCCAAATGGAAATGCCATTGGATGTGGTTCTTGTGGTGGCAAGATTTTAAATCCCAGTTCTTCAAACCTTTCTAAGAGTTCTTCTAGTTCAATATACTTCCTGTGCATGTGAAACATAAGATTACTAACTTTTCCAGTAGTTGGATGTTGACATCTCATCACTGACACATGACTTTTTCATATGAGGCAGGCTGGAGTTCCTAAGATTCCTTTAGGATGAAGTCCATTACAAAAATCTATCTGTCGATAATCGACAAATTCTTGATTACTGAATGGTCTGTAAATGACTATAATTACAACGCAACCATGATTGTCACCTCAAAATAAGTAGACATATGATTTGCAATGTTTACCTTCGCAAAGAATTTCAGGTGCAATATACGGTAATTGAATTTTCTAATCACATTTCATCTACTCTGCACGATACAAGATCGGAGATTACAAATTGATAGCCATCAGTTAGGACATTTCCTGAATGAAAATATAACCTCTTTTGTGGATCTTTTCTAAAACAGTAGCTGACTGATAGACGATTTTAAAGCGCTGCTTCAACCTTATTGTTATGGAATATTTCTTCAGATATTCATATAAATTTTTTGATGGTAATAACGATTGACTTGCATATGATGGCCTAAGGAATCTTATGTGAAGCCATAAAGCTTTTCAATTTCAATGCCTTTAAGGTGAGATTTTAAAAAATCAAAAATGGTTAATGAATATGACGATGGCTAAAATGCGAACAACAGTTAAAGTATTATGAATTAAAACGATTTAAAACTTTTCTCGTCAAATAATTCTTCACGTTCATTATATATTTTAAGATCACAGCAATAGTCTTCCCCGGTTCTATGATGGCGTTGAAACTTTTGATTTCATAATTTTCACTGTCCATATGACCATCCTGCTTTATATATTAAGATTGCATCATGTTTTGTTACAAGGTTGATATCTATTTATTCTTTATATGAAATCCACTCAACAACATTATATGGAGTTGAAGTGTAAAATTTGAAAATTTTTAATTAATTGGTCTTCAATCCATGTATTTACATCGTAGCAAATCTTCAATATTTATATTTTCGTTAAGCTAGTTACTAGCATTTTTAGAATCATCATAATTTTTAAGATCAAGTTTCAAAGATTTTGGCTTCTTAACATTTCGAATATAATGTATAGAAGTTCCTATAATTGGTTTTTCTCGTAAACCCTGATGAATTTTGTTAGTGTAACCATTAAGAGGAGAGCAAATAGCAAATAATGAGGAACAGGGCCAATTTAACTCTAACGGTGTATGGTTAGGTAATGGAAAAAGGAAGTAATGACGGGTGATGCTGTTAAAGTGTT